CTGAGCCACCCAGGCGCCCCTCCTGATTTTTCTTTCATAGCAGCATTCCGGATACAAATTTTCTTGTATGTTTTTAAAACTCACCTACTTAATTCCTCTACTTAGTTGAACTCAGACTTCCTTTATTCCTTTAACAGACACAAAAGAGAAATTGATATGTACGTATTTGGGTTAACATCAGATTATGCCTGTGTATCAACACATATTTTTAATAGAATGAGGATATCAGGCTTTCCCAGCCTTGGCATTTATATAGTTCCTCTCAGTATATACTTTTCAGCCATACTATGACCTAGAATTTTTTGCTCAACCCTTCTCTACATAGAATGGTTTTTGTTTTTTTTAAGATTTTTTTATTTATTTGAGAGAGAACATGAGCCAGGGGAAGGAGCAGAGGGAGAAGCAGACTCCCCGCTGAGCAGGGAGCCCAATGAAGGGCTCAATCCCGGGACTCCAGGATCATGACCCGAGCTGAAGGCAGATGCTTAACCATCTGAGCTACCCAGGCACTACCCACATAGAATGTTTCTGAGTTTTTTTTCCTCCTGGTTTTCTGTGATCTAAAATAAGACATAATTGACCAGTGAAGGCATGACCACATTCACTGCATTCATAAGGTTTCTGTCCTGGGCAAATCCTCTGTTGTCTCCTGAGGGTGCACTTCTGGCTGCAGGCTGTCCCACTATGACCACATTCTATTTGCTAGGAGCCCACTGATGTTTAATGATGTCTGGCAAGCCACAGAAGGCACTTGCATAGTCACCATATTAAAAAGGTTTTTCTCTTGCAGGACAACACTAGTCTGTGATGACCTGTGACTCTGAGGGAGGATTCTCTACCTTGACTAAATGAATTTTCTAATGTTTATTGAGGACTGACTTCCCTCGAAAAGATTTCCCATATTCAATGCATCTATATGGTTTCTCTTCTGTATGAGTTCTCTGATGTATAATGAGCTGTGACTTCCTGATAAAGGCTTTCCCACATTCACTACATCTACAAGGTTTTCTCTCCTGTGTGAATTCTTTGATGTTTAATGAGACCTGTCTTCTGGGAACAGGATTTTCCACATTCACTGGACACAAAAGGAGTCTTTCCTGTGTGAAATCTTTGATGTGAAAAGACAAGCATGTCTTTGGCAGAAGCCTTTCCCACACTCATTGCATATATAAGTTTCCTCTCTTGTATGAATCCACAGATGTCCCATGAGATTTCCCTTCTGGATGAAGCCTCTTCCACATTTACTGCACAGAAAAGGTCTCTCTCCTGGATGTGTTTTCTGATGTATATTGAGCCGTGATTTCTTGAGAAAGGCTTTGCCATATTCAGTACATTCATAAGGTTTTTCTCCTGTATGCATTCTCTGGTGTTCAGTGAGCATGAACTTTCTGGAGAATGCTTTCCCACATAGACTGCATCTGTGGGGTCTCTCTCCTGTATGAATGATCTGGTGATCAGTGAGCCAGGACTTCTTGATGAAGGCTTTCCCACATTCACTGCATACATGAGGTTTCTTTATTTTTTTAGTTTTCTGATATTTAATGATTTGGCACTTCATGCTGGTGCATTTTTGGCATTCAAGGGATTTAATTTCACTCTGAAATTGTTCGTGATTAATAATGAAGAAAGAATTTCTCACTTACAGTAAGCTCTGCAGTGGCTCTGCTGTGGTTAAGGAAAGTTATATTTGGTTTCATAATTTTTCCATCTAAGTCAAACATACCATGCTTTTGCCTTGACACAAAATGAGTTTTGCTCAGAAGAACAGAATTCTCAAATGCATTATGTTTGTGCCATTGTTCTAGGCTATTCTCCATGAATTCATTTTGTAAGTGATCTGGAAGTTTCCAGACTCTTAGAAAAGAATAATGAATTCTTCCGGGCGCCTGGGTGGCTCAGTTGGTTAAGCGACTGCCTTTGGCTCGGGTCATGATCCTGGAGTTCTGGGATCGAGTCCCGCATCGGGCTCCCTGCTCGGCGGGGGGTCTGCTTCTCCCTCTGACTCTCCCCCTCTCATGCTCTCTCTCTC